TTGAATCATATATCGAAAAGGGGGAAACTAATCATTAGATGCGCCTTTTGGTAGAATGACTGGAGAGCTGGAAGAACTCCAGGGTTAATCATGCTCGCTTCAAAGAAATCCTAGGATGGGTGACCTTTTGGGAAGTTTCCCATTTCACCTGCAGGATAAAACCGTGTGGATCCTGCCAATCCAGTATGGGTTGGATTCGGCTTAATCTAAAGCGGACAATTCATCTAGTGATTAGAGTCGGGCGTGACAGGTGGTATCAGAGCCGAACCCCCTCCAATAGATGAATGGTTTGAGGACAAACAACGCAGAAGCTGGTGGGCTTGTAACATCCCGACCTAGCAAAGCGAATCTAGGAGGGCAGGTAGAGTTAAGGTCCTGACGAGCTTCTAGGATGGCAGGCTAGCTATGGGTAGTGGAATGCAGGACACAGGAATAAATCGAATCATATATCGAAAAGGGGGAAACTAATCATTAGAGGCGCATTTTGGTGGAATGGTTAGACAGTTGGAAGAACTCCAAGGTTAAGCATGCTCGCTTAACAGAAATAGTAGAATGGGTGACCTCTTGAGAAGTTTTCCATTTCACATGCGGGACAAAATCATTTGGATCTTGCCAATCCAGTATGAGATGGATTATGCTTGATCCAAAGTGGATAATTCCTCTGGTGATTAGAGTCGGGCGTGACATAGAGAAAGTGACATTCTGACTCGGCAAAGCAATCCTAAAAAGGTGGATAGAGTTAAGGTCCTGGAGAGCTTTTAGGATGGCAGGCTAGCTATGGATAGTGGAATGCGGGACACAGGAATGAATCGAATCATATATCGAAAAAGGGGAAAACTAATCATTAGAAGTGCCTTTTGGTGGAATGGCTGAAGAGTTGCAAGAACTCCAGGGTTAAGCATGCTCGTTTAACAGAAATCCTAAGATGGGTGACCTCCTGAGAAGTTTCCCATTTCACATGCGGGACAAAACCGCGCGGTTCCTACCAATCCAGTATGGGATGGATTCGGGTTGATCCAAAACGGATAATTCCTTTGGTGATTAGAGTCGGGCGTGACAAAACCTTTTTTGAGTTTCGGGATTTTTTTTTCTCAAAAGAGGTTACAAATGATTGTTATAGATGCTTGCAAATTTCAAATGAGGTTGGTGATAATCATTTGAGGTTGGACAGAAGAGAAGTGTCGAATTGTTGATTTACAAATAAGAGGGAAGGATTGAGTGGGATGATCAAGGAGGGGTTAATTTTAGGTTTTTTTTTTTTTTTTTTTTTTTCTAATATCATACTTTTCTTTTGAATTTCTCTAACCTTTTGAGTTAGTCTAATTAGCATATATGGATCCCACATTTAATATTTTTATTAAATTCATATGCATTACTTAAATTTGGAGTGTAATTATAACAAAACACAAAGTTGAGAGTATTTTACATGGTTTATTTTTGAGAAATTTTTTTATCATTTTTAATACGTTACCTTTATTCCATTACAAGTGTTTTTAAGGCTTTTTTTTTTTACCAATTAATTTATCATTTTAGGCCATTTTTAGTATGGTGTAATCAATTATATAATGCATTGGAAATTACATTACATGATTGATTACATTATTTGGTTAGACTTTTTTTTTTTTTTAACAATGTAATGTAATTGAGATTACATATATAATTTTCATTACTTAAATTGATATAATGAATAAACAAATATATTGTCCATTACATCAAGCACGTGTAGTATCAATTACATCAAGTCATCCAATTAAAACTCTTACCACTACTACCACCGCCCACCACTGCCACTACAATAACTCCACCACCGCCACCATTCCTCCACAACCATCGTCATCACCACTACACGACCTCCACCATAACCACTGCTCCACCACTCTACTAATACCACCACCACCATCACCGCTTCACCACTCTACTACCATCTCCACTGCACCACCATTCTACCACCACCATCGCCTCAATTACCACCACAACCACCACCATTCCACCACTCTACCATGACCACCACAACTACCATCCCCCATCATATAATAAAAATTATATTTTAGTATTTAATATGTAACATTCAATAAAAATTATATTTTATTCTTAACACTCAATAAAATTTTCTTTTATTTTATTATAGGAATAAGAAAAATAGAATGAAAAAGCATTAAAAATATCAAAATGCCTATAATTTTATATTGTATTTTAATTTATTCAGAGAAAATAAATAAATAAAAATTTCTAATGACTTTAACTTTTATTCTAATATATTATATTTTTTTGAGATTACCTTCTTTTAATTTTTTAGTTCAAATAAATTTATAAATCTAAATTGTCTTTAATAGCATAATATAATGAATAGCTTTTGGTTCAAATATTTTTTTTTATATTAATAATGATGTGGTGGTGTTTTTTTATATTAATAATGATGTGGTGGTGGTGGACTCGTGTTTGACGTGTGGTGGTGGTGGTGTGGCGTGGTAATAATGCTAGTTACATTGCATATTTTCAAATAAATATAAAAAAGAAATGGTAATTAAATTCCATAAATTTTTTGAATTACATTACTAAACATAATAATAAAATCTTGATTATATTTCATTATATCATATTTTTCATCGCGTTACATATTTAATTACATTACATTGCATTACATTTTTAATTACATTACATTGCATTAAATCAAACCAAACATAACCTTAGAATATAAAGTAAATGCTAATTATTTTTTCCAACTATACCCTTATCTTTTAATATATTCATAAGATGAACATTAATTGTTTAAAGAACTTACTAAAAGATAATTTTGTCAATTGTAATTAATTTTTATTAAAAATTGAGATCGTCTATGAAATTATGTTAAAAAAAAAATTACTTGTAGTGGGAAGTAAGTAGTAATAAAATTTTGATTGGTGAAAAATATTTTAGGTCTGAGGTAGGCATGGTCATCGGTTCATTTTGAATCGAAACCGAACTGAAATCAAACCGTATTGTAGATGAATTGGACCCGAATTGGATCCGTCGGTTCAAAATTTTGAACCGGAATCGGAGGTTCAAGGATCGGTTAAGGTTCATGTGAATGTTAAAATATGAACCTGAACGGGCTCTGAACCGGTGGTTCAGGTCCGGTTTGAACCAAAAATTTTATTTTTTTATTTTCAAAATAATAATTACTTAGCCTATTTTATACATCTCTAAAAGTCTCAATAATATTTTACCACATGATATACTTTACTTAATATTTTTTTAAAATTACAACTTACTTTAAAAGTTAAAAAATCTAAATAAGTAAAATTGATAAAAAAAGGAGAGAAATATAGTCTAAACTTAGATTGTTTTTAACTTTTTTTACCTTTAAATTGTTTATTAAGTTTAAAATTACATTCTTTTGGCAAGGCATTTTTTCCAAATTTTTATATTTATTTAATTAGTTAACATTTAAACAAAATCAAGTGATAACCTTATTTGATTATTTGTAAATTAATTAATTTATTCTTTATATGAGTATGAGATTCTAAATTATTTAAAATAAATTTTAGAAATATTTTTTAAAAAGCATTCTAAAATTTATTTAAAATAAATTTTAGAAATATTTTTTAAACTCATATTAATATTTTCGAAAGAAAGATGTAACGTTAGAATCGATATATATATATATATATATATATCGCCGGAAACCGTGATCAAAACTATCGATTTATCGGAACTGCACCAAAATCGGCCGGAATCGAAACCGGACTGACAATGACTGCTCAAAAGCCAATTCGAATTTAATATTTTAAAATTTTTGTCGTTTATGTGAACCGAACCGGCAGTTCAATGAGGCTAGGCATGGCCTAATTATATTTGGTCTCTCTATTTTTAAAAGTACTTTAACGCTCTTTGAGATTTCCATCCCTCAAACAAAAACGTCATGCCGTAGAAAATGGTGCGATCTTACCATCAAGTCAAAGAAAAAACACAAGTCAAAACAGAGAAATATAAATAAAGAAAAATACAGCCTTGTTTCTCCAAATCTTCAATTTCCACCATCATTAAACCACAAAGACAGCGACCTAAGTCGGGATGTCAAAATCGATGGTGACACTCGTTGTTCGTCTAAATGCGAAATAAATGGATTAGAGTCTAGTTAAAATGATTCGTATTATAAATGGATCGTTTATGAATCAATACGTTTCTTTTAACCTGTTTATAATATTAGGTGGATTACATTTGTCATATTTTTATTAAATGTCTAATTTTTATGTCGTGTTTGTATTGATAAAATAGACATAATTATTAAATAGAATGTATTTATATTGGCTTAATCATATTACTCGTTAGGTGAATCTCTGTCGAATCAGACATGTGAATCCATTTTTGACACCCTTCTAAATGAGGAAGCAAAATAGAGAAGAAAAATAAGGATTGAGGAAAATTTTGCATGTACAATAATTTTGTAAACTTGCACAGGCAGTCCAGAAAATAGAAGTAAATTAGGCTTAAAAAAGTTAAAAGAAATGCACTTTCTCTTTTAATTTACTTCGTCTTTGTTTAGATGGGTGTAAAGTTTGAGTGGATATAAAATAAAGAGTGAAAAATTCTTGAAATTATCAAAATTTCTCATTTGGTTTGAGGTAAAATATCAAGGAGGGTGTAAAAATAAATTTATTTTACACCTATTTTAATCTTATTTTCACTCTATTTTGAGAAAAAATAAATAGTAAAATTTCACCCTCTGTTTTACTATTATCCCTCATTTTACTACCCCTCTTCCCGAACAAAGCATTAACGTCTGTTGCTAATTCCTATGATCGGGGAGGAAGAAATTAAACCAACCAAAAAAACAAAACGTATATTTTTTCATATGTTTTTTTTTTTTTTTTTTTTTTTTGTGTTTTTTTTTTTTTTTTTGTTGATAGTAGTATATTTTTTTCATATCTTGAACTGAAAAAACTGCAGTGACTTATTTTTTTTTTTTTTTTTTTTTTTGATAGTAGTATATTTTTTTCATATCTGAACTGAAAAAACTGCAGTGACTTAGACAGAGGGCTAGGTAGGAAGAATAGAGAGAGAAACAGAATTATATCTCAAAGCTAATTTGGATTTCTCTCCAGCTCACTCACTGGCCTCTCTCTCTCTCTCTCTCTCTCTCTGGTTCTTCCCAGAACCCATTTGTCTGTTTATGGGTATTGAGCTCCTAATCACATACTCTCCATTCATCATCTCTCAACACTGTTGCCTCCTTTAAGGGCATCAGGCCCTGCATTGTCTTCTCCTCCTTTTCCATTACTACTTCATTGAACCAGCACCATCATTATTATAACATCTAAACCCCATAAATCAAAATACATTCTTTTAAGCAAACAAAAATAAAGAAAACCAGAAAGAGCATAACCATCCAGATGGGTCACTCTTCCACTCTCATTCTCAGCTTTCTTTTTCTTCTTTTCACTTCCAGAGGTAAAATCACCAAATGCAGTCTTTCGAAATGTTTTTAATGGATATCCAACTATTTTTATGTGTTTCCAACTATTCTTGACGGGATCTTGTTGTTTATGTTTGTAGGTGCATCTGGAGCTACATTTACTTTTGTTAACAGATGCGAGTACACAGTCTGGCCTGGCATTCTCGCCAATGCCGGCAGTCCAAGACTCGACAGCACTGGATTCGAGCTCCCGAAGGACACTTCCCGTTCTTTTCAAGCCCCAACTGGTTGGTCCGGTCGTTTCTGGGCACGAACCGGTTGTAACTTTGACGACTCTGGATCCGGATTCTGTCTCACTGGCGACTGTGGTTCGGGTCAAGTAGAGTGTAACGGACTCGGAGCCGCCCCGCCTGCTACTCTAGCTGAGTTCACGCTTGGAACCGGTGGGCAGGACTTTTATGACGTCAGTCTTGTAGATGGGTACAATCTACCCATGGTTGTTGATGGGAGTGGTGGGTCGGGTATGTGCGCTTCTACCGGTTGCTCTGCGGATCTGAACAGACAGTGTCCAGCAGAACTCAAGGTCGGCGATGGTGATGCGTGTAAGAGCGCGTGCGAAGCTTTTGGAAGTCCGGAATACTGTTGCAGCGGCGCGTTTAACACACCCTCCACTTGTAAGCCGTCGGTTTATTCAGAGATGTTTAAGGCCGCCTGCCCTAGATCGTATAGCTATGCGTATGATGATGCTACTAGTACTTTCACGTGCACCGGAGCAGATTATACAGTGACGTTTTGCCCATCTTCCTTAAGGTAAAAAAAACAAATAATCTCTATTTAATTAGTTTAGTTAATCTAGTTTTATTCAACTGTTTTTCATTAAAATTCTAAGCATATATTAGTGTGTAGTTAGAGGTTGATGCTTGGTTCTTGCCTATACAAAATCAATGGATGTTGTCTAAAGATAAAGCTAGTCTCTTTCCTTCAGAACATTGCTTTTGCCATTCTGTTGTTTAATAAATTTTCTTGCTTTGTTATTTTCTTGATTTACATGTATCTCTTTGAAAATGTATCTTTCTTTATTTCTACGACCTACTCAAGTTCCTTTCAAGATTTTTTTCTTTGGTAAGAATTCCTAATCTCTTCATCAAAAAGCTTTTTTTCCCTCCAATTTTGTGTAAGAGTTTATATAAAAAATAATCATGGTTAGAAATGTGTTCAAACTATTTTTTATGCATCTTTGGTGACGAGTTGTGTGGTGGCAAGCAATGCCAAAGATTCCCTTTTGAATGATTAGTTGATAATTATTATAATTAACTAAGCTATAAAGGATTAATTCTGTTGTTGGATTGCTATTAATGCTTGTGTTTTACATTATACCAAAGAATCTGATCAATAATAAAGATTCCTCTTACACAAATTGACAGTATTCTGTTAACATGTGGGTTCTGCAGTCAGAAATCGACAAGCTATTCACCACCAATGACAGGATTAACCACGTCACCAAATGAAGGGTCTGGATCCGGATCTGGGTCTGGGCTAGAGTATTCGGGTACAGGTGCATATTCTGGTTCAGGTTCAGTTGCTGGAACTGCGTTCGGCGCCGGATCGGGGTCTGGTTCTGGTTCTGGTTCAGGAGAAACAATGCTAGCAGATGGATCTTGGTTAGCTGGTTTAGCTATGGGGAACTCACACAAGACAGTTGCTCCTACTGCTCTGCATTTTACTACGGCTATTTTACTAGTGATTTCTTGTTTTTACTTGTAGCAGTGAAGAGTAGAGTAAGAGAGACGTGTATTTTTAATTTTGTTGGTGGCTTTTCTTTCTAGTGTTTAATGTGAATTCTTTGCAGATTTGCAGCCTCTAAATCGGTGGGTGCTTGGATTTTGCCTTTTGTTAGGAAAAGCTGACAGATATTCTCTTTCTCTTCCATCCAGATTGTAAAACACCCACTTTCACTTCCAAGATTCCCTCTTTTCTCTAAAATTTTCAATGTTATATATGTAAAAGAACAGTTGTTTCTATATTATAATTTTGTGTTTTTTACCTCTATTTTTCATTCTTTTGCTTTTTTGTTCAATATTTTTGAGTAGCTCAATTAACAAATCAGAAAGAACCAAGCTTTATATCCTTTCCTTTCACATGTTCAAGAAAGAAATAAAAATGTGATTGGCCCAAGAAAAATAAAGTCCAATTCATCTCCTGAATTTTGCTTACAGAATCTAAGTTGAGGCAGGCTTTTTGCAATGTTTAAATGTTAGTGGTCAGATTGAGTTAAAATTATAAATTCAAGAGCAAATTAAGCCAAAATTACAAGTTCATTGAGTAAATTTAAGTAAAAAGGTAATAATTAATCTTAGTGGTTATGATTCATGAGAATGTTAACTGTAATAGAGTGTGAAGTAACAATAAAAATGCCTGGGATTTTATTATTTTATATTTCATTATGGGTCACCAACACCATCGGACTGTAAAATTGGAAGTTAAGGTTAATCCGTTTAGATTAAAAAGTGACTGCCAATGTGTTTTGTTGGTTGGTCCAGAGTTGCAAAGTGGTTGCGAGCACTTTGCGGATATTGCAAGTTTTAGGGATTGGCTTTTGTCTGCATTTGCCATGGAAGACGAATATTTTTAAAGGCTAATGCGTCATTGTTCTCATTTTTTTATGGGTTCTGTTGTGAAATGTTCTTTCTTTCTCCCTTTTTTTTTTTTTTTTTTTGCATTTGCCATGGAAGACGAATATTTTAAAGGCTAATGCCGTCATTGTTCTCTATTTTTTTATGTGTTTCTGTTTGTGAAATGTTCTTTCTTTTCTCCCTTTTTTTTTTTTTTTGAAATGGTTGATTTTTTGTATTAAATTTCTCCCTTTTTTTTTTTTTTTTTTGAAATGGTTGATTTTGTATTAAAATTTAAAAATAGAAAAAGAAAAAAGAATGACATAACATAATCATCAACTTGGGCCAAAAGTAGAATGCCAACCTCAACTCATGGCGTAAAAGTCCAGTAGTGGCTCAGTTATCTAATCGTGATCATAACATCACATTTCAGTTTTTGGTTTTTAAGATGTTTAAAATTTTCCATTTTGAAAAATAAGTAAAACATCCTTAGCGGAAATATGTTAATCGGCCATGATATTATGAGCAACCGAAATTATGATTACTGGAAACTTTTAAAAAATGAAAACAAGTAGCTCTCAGCCTCACACCTAACGAGTAACGACCGACATTTTTCTGTTTTTTTTTTTCCTTTGTTTTGTGTGGTATGATGGGATTTAGACGGCTAGTCGTTGCAATAGTTAGCTTTTTAGGTAGCAATTTGTAATTAAGTTGTGAATTACAATCATAATTAGAATTTGTGTTGTAAATTATCAGAATGATTATTTGGAAAATGGGTCCTACACACCACTAGGTATGTTCATGATGTTTTGGTAATCAGATCAGATCAGATGATGGTCACCCGTGTTACCTGCAGAGGTTTTGCAATGACTCCAACTGTGCACTTTGAAATATTTGCAGCCTGTATTTATTTATTTATTTATTTATATATATATTATTAATTGAACGTGAATTTCAAGACTGAAAAATAGAAGATAAAGGCTAAAGAGACGAAGCAAAACAAAGCCAACTGTTGAAGATGACTTTAAATGTGAAAGCTGAGCTGAAAGGCGGCAATAAAGAGAGACAACTGAAAAAGTAGGTTTTGTAAATGTGCTATTCTACTTGCTTACAAGAAATACTCTGTTTGGTTACTGGAATAAACTTGGAAATGAATTGAATTCTGTTTTTAATAAATTTTGAAAATACCTACCTTCTGTAAAACATATTACTTATACAATACTCCATCCGTCAGGGTTTGATCTTTCTTTTTTTTTTTTTTTTCATATTTGCACTAAAATAGTTAATTATTCTTTTTCTTTTTTAAATTGAGATGTTTCAATAATTTTTTAAATTCATGTAAAAATCAAAAAGTGAGAAATTTAACAAAACATAAACAATGATAGTTTTATTATTCACAATTAAAATTTTAAATTAAAATGTCGTAGATATTTCTTTTATTCACACACGTATTTCCACGTTTAAATTGAAAGTAAAATTAGAAGAAATTAATTTATCAATTCAATTAATAATAAAGCATTTTTTTCAATTTGATATATAGAATATAGTTTTAATTAAAATTTTGAATTAACACTTTAATTCCTAAAATTTTAAGATTTAACATTTTGTTAATGCGAGAGTTATTTTATTTATAACTTGTTTTATGTCATTTTACTCGTTAAAAAAAATCTTGTACTCTGATTAATTTGGTATTAAACATGGAAATTTTAAAATGGTAAATATTAAAATGCGTATTATAGAAAATCTTTGAGGTACTATAGGGATTTCTTTAAAAAAATAAATGTTTCATTTGGAGATTGGAGGAGCACCGCCTTGTTGGGTTTGAATTTTGAGGCTCATTTTGGGCCCCGATTTAGGTACCTAAAATCTTGAGCCCAACTTATAGATTTAAATATTTTATGTGTCTTTATAACACGTGTATCGCGCACGTATATATTTTTATATTAACACATTATAATATAATATTATTTCAATATTAAATGTCATTGTTGAATCAGAAAAAGAATATTAAGCATAACTGTATGTACAGATTAAAATTGTTAGAGATATAATTTTATCCTATTTTTCTTAGTAAAGTCAAAGTAAAATTCCTTTGTAGAATTTGGTCACTATTTGATGAAAAATGATCAATAAAACTATCGAAAAATGATTTCCACACACGTAATCGATTGAAATGAATATATGATTTGCAAAATATAATTGAAATGAAGTTGTTAGTACTAATTCTATATTAATCAAAGATATCAAATTTAAATTGAGTATGGAAATTTGCCCTTTGTACGGATTTTACAACACTCGAGCCGGATATAGTTTGAGTTAAGTGGACTTTTAAATACCGGTGGTTATAGACCATTATATATAAAAATTTGCCGCTTTTGTACGGATTTACAACAACTCGAGCCGGATATAGTTTGAGTTAAAGTGGACTTTTAAATACCTGGTGGTTATAGAACCAGTTATATAATATATATATATATATATATAATATTATAATATATATATAATATATATATATATATATATATATTTAATATTATATATATAGTAAGCATTTTTCTATATATTTTTTTGGCTTCATAGTTATGTAGTTTTTTCTTATATATATATAACTAATGAGCCAAAAAAGGTAAGCATTTTCTATATATTTTTTTGGCTCATAGTTATGTAGTTTTTCTATATATATATAACTAATGAGCCAAAAAATATATAGAAAATGCTTACCTATATCATTTCTCTAATATACTCGTTTTTGTTTGTATAATACTGAAAATATATATATTATTACTACACGGATTCATTGAAATTAAAAAAAGAATAAATTGAAAAATATATTTAATTAGTAAGTAGTTTATATTAATTAAGAAGCATAATCTATTATGTAACTCTGGATATAGATGATGGCTTCAAATTTTCCTAAACTGGATACTAAAATATGCAAGAACTGAAATCTATAAGACAGATAATAAGTATGCCTATAAATGGGGTTACAATTGAATGTTAAAATGCTTAGTTTCATCACCTCTACTGAGAGAGAATGTTGAATTTGCTGTTCTATTGCCAAATGCAACACTAATTCTGTATTCACCTAAGAATCCAAAAAAACTATGTGAACCCTGTTCATCTGTGTACCCATTCATTTCTCCAGTTCTCCATTCTTGCAGTAGCTTATCAACTACATCTCCTGCTGGAAGGTTTTTAAAATTATTATCAGTAAGGCACATTTGGTAACACCCATTCGGATGGAGTGCAGTCCACAGGATGATTCCATTTACTGCAGGATGTGAGAATCCTTCTCTTAGCACTTGTTCTAAATATATAGCCTGCAAAATTCACACCACAAGAAACATTTTTAAGTAGTTTTTAACTTCTCGGTGCCAAGTAGACTATCGATGGAAGAAATAATGCACCTGAGTTTCGTAATTGAAGTTTTTGCTAATGTCAACTTCTGTAAGCCAAATAGGAAGATCAAGTGTAGCCAATTTGTCTAGGATACCTCTCATTAGAGGAAGATTTGGTGCCGAAAAATGACTCTCTAATCCAATTCCATCCAAGAATACTCCTCCAAGCTCTAGTTCTCTTAGCCTTGAAATATATGTATCGACAGTTGAATTCACATCACTACATGTCTCTACCACATTAAACTCATTCATGAACAATGTTGCTAGAGGGTCAACTTTATGTGCAGTCTCAAAGAAATGCAAAGTAGCATCTGGACCAAGCCTTTGCTCATAAAAATCAAAATGTAACATTTCATTACTAACATCCCAGTGTATAAACTCTTCCTTGTATTTGCTCATTAGGCTTTGGATTCGCGAGTTGACTGCTAATTTCAATGCATCACTTGAAAGATTGCGAACCCATGCGGGTGTGTACTTAGGATCTTCCCAGAATATGTTGTGTCCTCTAACACTTATTTGGTTTGCTCTAATAAGTTCTAACATTTGATCTGGTATGGTATAATTGAGCTTCCCTTGTTCAGGTTCTGTCACATACCATTTTAGTTCGTTTTCAAATACTGCTGCATTGAATCGCTCGACAAACCATTTCTGCAACCACCAAAAGTACTATTTTCTGAATATCTTGAAAAGTATGATACTAATTAACAATGGCTTTGATTCGTTGATAGCAAAGTCATCTCTAGTGCTCTAGTAATATGTATATATTAGAGTCATCTAAAATGCTCTGGTACACACACACACACACACACACACACACACACATTTATACTTCTTGCTCGAGCATGATATTAAAAATATGCATATACTAGAGTAATCTCCATCTAGATAATAGGAGATATCATTATATTTGAGTCATCACACTCCCATAATTATAAAAATATGAACAATATACAAAAATTTACCATATTGTTCTTATAGGGAATCACACTCCCACTTCGACTAATCCATGTTTGGATCAATTTTGCCTCAACTCCTCTAGTTAAAAGATATGCATATATAGCTAGCAAGCTAGTATATTGACTGAAATTACCTGATACGGCTCATTGCCGAGAATAGTTCTTGCTATAGCTGAACCAAATGGGAAATCATTTGAGATTTGCTCTATTTTAATGGCTGCTCCTTGCAATCTATCACCATGACTATCAGACACATGGATTGTGACAGCACGCTTCCTTACCTGGAATTTTCTGTGTTAGTTTGTGTATTAAGGATACAAAATGGGTATCAAACAAAGTATTAAGATACAATTTATACTATTAAAGAATCCTTAGGCTCAAAATACAAAAACCAAGTCTATGTTTACTACCATGTAAATGGACATATGAACTTTTAGTTTATTGTTTTGAGAATTTGAAAAGGAAAAAAAAAATTCATTTCATTGATTTACAGACCAAACATAGATTAAAAGCTTAAGATTTGGTATTGTGAAAGCAGCAATAAATGCAAATAAGTTAACAAATAGAGGTAGCAAAAACTAGCGTTACCAGTATTTACAGTATTAGTTATATATTGCTGATTTGTTCTCCACTGTTGATAGGTAAATGGTTGCAGTGAACCACTAGCAATTCCAATACTGATATTTTCATCATCTGAACTCTGCATATTAATCTAAATGAATAAATAGGTAAATAAATAAAAGGGTCTCTAACTATGAGCATTTTACATAAGAAAAATGTTAATTGAGAACAAAATCCATACCTTAAAATATATTATTGCTAAATTTGAAGGGGAATCAAGAATAAATCCACCTTTAAGAAATGACCAGCATCCACTTTTTGCCAGAACAGTCCCCACACAATTGTATGTGGCATTTTCTGCGGTTAGGCTTGCAGTTACAAGGCTGGAATCTGCACCTTCTGCTTTGATCCAAACTGTATTTTTTTTTTTTTTTTTGGCATCCAAAAGCCAAATATTAAGCTTTTAATCAAAATAATCAATTCAATAAGAAAATTAGATACTCAACTGGAAAAACAGTAAATGGTATCTTGAGTGAGATTATGCAGTATCAGAGCTGGTGTAGTATAAGTAACTGTGGAGTAACGTTTGCTATTAAGCTTCAAAACTGTATTTACATCTTTCAAAATCCCTCCATTATAAAGTGGCTTTTCTGGTACTGATTTACACTGCCACCACCACCAGAATATCCATAGCCAAATTAATTAATTAATTAGCTTAGTATTTTCTAAGAAATATATATATATTTTTTTATCAGCAACTCAAACAGTAATACCAAATAAATCTTACCTCAGAGTAAGCAGTGTAGTCATATAAGGGCCCATCTGCACTAATTAATTAATTATTAGAACCCACAAAACATGCTTACACCATTACTTAAAAAATCTAAAATAGAGATAGAGAGAGACAGAGAGAATACCGTAAGAAAGAGCCAAGTCATTAGGGCAAATAAGAAGAAAGAAAACATAGAAACCCAAGAAAGAAAAAACTCGTTGGATTCTGTTGTTGCTTAAAAAACCCATGTCGTAAAAAATGGAAATGGGGAGCTTAGCCTCACTGCTTCTGCTATTTTAGGCGGTAAATGTCTTATAAACTACAAAGAAATGGAGATTACAGAGACAGAGCAGTAAAGGGAGAGGCTAAGCTAAGGAGGTTCACAAGAGAAACAGTGGCCTTGCTCACATGTTATGCCATAGCTTTCATCACGTGAACTTGAAGGACATGCTCTGTGATAAAATTGTATGGTTCCTCAACTGCTTTAATATATGTGATATGGGATATTAATTCTGTCATTTGGCTTTATTGATCTTTGCTAATTTTTAGTCTATATTAGCTTTGATTTTTATTTTGGATGTTTGTTGCCTCTATTAGTGCTAAATAATTAGTCTTAACTGGGAAGAGGAACTGCTAATTATGGAATATTGCTAAATAAAAATGGAATAGTGCTAAATAATATTAGTGTAAAGTTTATAGTTTAGTAAAGATAATGGTGCTAAATAGTAAGGGAATGTTTATTTGACATACTAAAGATGGACATAAACAAAAATTTGGAATAATAATCTTCCAATAACAATACCTAAGTCAACACTTTGTATTTCATTAAATAATTATTTTTACCGAACACTCCTGACATAATTCACTGTACAACTGTTAAAATAATTAATGTTGCTAAATATTTTAAATCTATTTAAGATTATACATTTATTATTCTATGAAACATTAATTCTATATTTAATATTTTAAACAAAATAAATATTTATAAGAAACATAATTATCTTATTTTTATATTAGTTTATAAATGAAATGAGAAGCAAACATTTTAATAATATTTTTAGATTTCGGGACCGTCCATCTGACAGATACATTCAATTCTACCACCAAGATCGCTCGCAACATAGCAAGCTGCAGGTCATGGCCGCTATCAACACTAAGCATGGTATGATACGGAATGTCTTCAAACAAATGAAACATAAACAAATTTGATTTGAAATCTTTATTTTTTTTTTCTTAGTATTGAACATTGTAAAAAAAAATATATAAAAAAAATAATGCTCATTTTTTTTAAAGTCCGTTTAGAACAAATAAATTTCATAAAATCTTGTGAAATTCATTTAATAATTCAAAATATTGTGTTTAATATAAAATAAAATAAAAATTGACGTTTTTTACTTTTTTGAAGTCTAGTATATAAAAACAGAGCATCCACAATGGTTTTCAAATGTAATTAAAAATAATAATAACATTCTTAATATTTTTTTTTCAGTTTTCAAATTAATTACTTAAATCAACAAAATGTTTTACACCAATTAAAAATAATTATTATAATAAATGTTACTACTTATATAATTAATTAATTAATTAATTACTTAAATCAACAAAATGTTTTACACAAATTAAAAATAATTATTTAATTACTTAAATCAACAAAATGTTTTACACCAATTAAAAATAATTATTATAATAAATGTTACTACTTATATAATTAATTAATTAGCATGGAATACTTATTTATATGAAATTTATTATTTATATTTTAATATAAAGAAAGATAATTTATTATATTGTACATAATAAATATAATTGGTGTTTGTTATTTATTTTTATTAAATTATTATGTCAAGGGTGTTATAAGAAATTAAGATAAATAAATTTTTCAAATATTATTTTGTAAAATTCAATTAAATTTCTTATTTTAAATTATAGCATATCAAACGTGACAAATTCATTTGGAAATGAATTTTACTTGAAATTTATTTACAAATGAATTTTACAACTATAATTCATTTGTTTCAAATCAACTCTAAAATTTATTTCCAATTTATACTTTATCAAAAATTAGACTTATTGAATTAATAACTTTTATCCATATTCTTTTGACTGGTTAACAAGAATGAGAGATAGATAATAAAGAAAATTAGTGATTACTTTACTTTCAGCTCAAATATTTAATATATATATATTATATACCTTATTATATTATATGGTTTTAATTTCAAAACCGCGAGCTACAGTTATAAGAAAAGTGAAATGAAATAGTATTACCATATTTTATATATAACTTATATAACATATAATAATTTATTATTTTACCCAATAGAATTTGAATTTTAACAGAAAATTAATTTGAACAATCAAAATTAAATACCTTTATTTTTTCAACCAATCAAATTAAAATCTTTTATAATATTTTTATCAATTCATAATCTTAGGAGTGTCACTTTTTGTAATTTCAATATTCTCCACCCATTTTCAGTTTTACATATATATAAATAATTATAAATTGTACATAAAAAATTATTTTTTGATTTGGTATTCTTTTAGCTCAAATACATTACACATGTATTCATTCAATGATTTAGTTAGCACACTTGTTTTAGTTAAAAAATGAATTCAATTGGTCTTATCATTGGCAATTCATAATCAATTTAAAAGGTAAATTTTGGGTAAATTGTATGTTAGGATCAAGTTAAGAAAACAAACAGTGCAAGCGATTGCAAATGTTAAATTCAGTATAAGAAAAAAAAAAAAAACTAGTGCAGATGATTACAGATATTAAATTCAATAAGAAATTATATATAGTAGATGTTTAGAGTTTAGATAAGAGAGAAGCTAATTACGTTTGGGTTATGGTTGTTTGGTAACTTAGGTCAACAGGCCTGAAAGAAGGATAAAAAACGAAAAGAAAAGGCTGCAGCACAAATTATGGCATGGGAAGTATCTTGGAAGTAATAATATGGAGCATATGGGAACATGAGGGTTCCTTCCTTCGATGGTAAGCAAAGGTGCAATGCATAGCTAGATAGGCCTGTGTATCCTTAACACTTGTCACAAGTTGTATGAAAAACCTTATACATGTGATGTGACTGTCATTACTCTGACGTTACCCACCATAATTTCTTCGTCTTCTTCAATGTTACTCTTTGAGGTCACGCACGCTCAGTCAAACCCAAGGAAGGGGGAGGGTGACCGTAGATTAATGATCAATGTAATATCAGTCAAACCATGTTATGAATCTTTTGACTATACAGAACACAGTTAGAATGTATTCATCCAGTGCGATGCATCGACATTCATGTATAGTGTCAAATGAGTACGAGCAAAGATTCCCACACCAAGGACGATTGTGGGTAAAGAAACTAGCTCCAACACATCTACATCTACGCTTATAGATATGGTGTTACATAGAAAATGATTCACATATCTTAATTAATAGATGCGATGAAAAAGCTAATACAAGAGAGTCGCTTTCAGATGAGAAATTGGAATGTAGGTATATGAACCGGTAAGTCAATGGAGTTTCCGAGAAATCAAGTAGAAAGGGGAAAAAGGCTCAAAAACTCGCTAATACAAGAATAAAGTGAAATCATTATATAACCAACACTCAAGATTGAAGTGGTGGATGTGAAGAGGATTGAAGATAGGTTATCTCCTTAAAAATAGTGTTGGGTCTAAAACGATTAGAGGAAGTGATAATCTATTCACATACAAGTGTAATTTAAATACATGATTACAGACTCTTCTAATCCTTGTTTCAAGGAACTTGTATATATCTAAATATAACAGAATAGAATTTGAATAAGTCTTTGTAACAACTACGTTTACGTTGGTATCTTATCTAATAACGGGCCCTCGCAAGATGTTTACAGTCTATATAAACACCAATCTTGTTTCTGAAATGCTGAATGCCTGTGAAAGATAAGGGCTTGTTGCATATCAGCAAGTTGGGTCTTTTTGCCCGAATATGAGTGACTGAAAGTTCCATTGCACTTGTTGCCGTACAAAATAAATCTAGTGGAATGTGTTTCATCGGCGAGTGAAGACCTGGGTTTGCTGCAACATAATAGCTCCAAAATTCACAGTAGATCACCTCCGGAGAATTTGGGTCTTGGAAATCTTTGCATCACTATAAATTCGACGCAAGCCAAACTCAGCTGCTGTGAGGCTACGGATTTATACTTCACTGCAGTTTGACTCTTGTACAGTTTTCCTGCTTCTTTGAAGACCAAGCAACTGGTCTTCCTAAAACATTATGTAGGCAATATAGAGGATCGTGATTTCCCGCCCAATCCGCATCGGACAATGCATGTAAATCATCATCAGTTTGTCTACAAAGATTCAATCCAAAATCAAATGTACCAACCAAATACCGCAAAAGCCGTTTAAGAGCAGTCCAATGTTTTTCAGTCGGCTTTGATGTGTATTGCGCTAGTTTATTAACAACAAATGCCACATCTAGTCTTGTAAGCAATAGGTATTGTAAACTTCCTATTAGAGCTCGATAGACAGTAACATCCTGTAAACAAGCAGAATCTGAAGAATTGAGGGTCATGGTCGAAGACATTGGTGTAGATGCAGATTTGGCTTCATGCATGTGAGCTTTCTCTAGAAGGTCACGTATATAATTATGTTGTGAGAGAGAGAAACAGACCCGTGCTGTTCCTTGACCCTCAACACCCAAAACACTAGTGAAGGTTACCTCAAATCTTTACAATAGAGAATGCCTTACCCAATGATTAATGAATCTTAATTCGCATAAACACTAAGCCCAGTAATAATTATATCACAACATAAACTAGTAAAATAAAGAAAATCCCTTGGTCGATGAATATAATAGGCAGAATCTATTTGGATGCTGAAAACCAGCAGCTATCAGAAAAACGATGTTTAAAGCAAGAGTACCACACCCTTGGAGCTTGTTTTAAAAATCGGTGAGAGAAGACTTCTCCCAAATTTGCACACAAATCTCAATGGATGTTGATATAAAACCAGGTGGCTGCTCCATAAACACATCTCATTTAATTTGGCAATGAAAGGGAAGGCATTAAATTTGACATCACCTACGAAGAGGGCAATTTTTACTAACAGCAAAGATAGTAAGTACCGAACTGTGGATTTTAACAACAGGAGAAAGGTCTGATCAAAATCAAGTCCTGGTCCCTTTTGAGTAAACCTCGTGCCACCAGAACGTGCCTTTATAACGACTAGAATTCCCTGGATCAATCTTATTGCGAAACCATAGGCCATTTACCAGCATAACATTATTTGCATTTTCCAAAGGAACCAAACCCAATTTTCTAGCTTCATAAGGCTTAATCTTCTCCATGGCAATCACACACTTCGGATCCTTCAATGCCTGAGCAACAGTCTTGAAACACAATTGTACTATAGAATTTAAACTTCAAGTGGATAGACACAGTTCGATTAATTAGGCTTTGTAATTGATTTTTGCTGCGGTCACCATTTGGAGTACATTCTGATTGAGAATTAGAGGCCAACGGCAAAGCTGCTCACAAATCACTTTGATAGGTAAATAACTAGGTGAATTAAGAAATTTTCAGTACCTGAACCGAATCTTGAGATGTACTCTAGTGTTCGGTTGCTTGCTGAACTTAGGCGAAGGAGAAGCCGAGATCAGTGGTTCACATAATTGGGTCTTCCCACTAACTATCAAGACATGCAGACATGTAACAATAAATGTATGGGGTGAGCCAGTGGGTATCTAATGGTATGAGAATCTAGGTTGTTCTATAAAGCTGTGGCAAGAACTAAAAGCGGAAGTCAATTCTATAAAGTAACAGACGCAGAAAGATAATTCTTGGAATGAAATGAGATCATAGCACTTGTAAGCCACTTTGAGGTAGGTTGAATACCAATAAAACACCAGAGGAAGAGAACGTTTCTAGTTTTATGGTTATTAAATGGAAAAAAAACGAATTAATCCAAGGATAACATAAACACCCAAAAACCTTTAATTTAGCATAATTGGGTTCTTTGCCATGAAGACAGTAGAAAGGTGATTTATTGTCCAAAATAGAGGTTGGCATTCTATTGATTAAATATACGGCTGTCTGAAAAGCATATGTCCAAAAAGATAGGGGTAGATCGGCTTGACTTGATGAAGTAATGTGAGCCCGGTTTCGACAATGTGTCAATGTCGACGCTCAGCTGTGGCGTTATGTTCTGGTGTGTAGGGTGGAGTAAGAAAATGAGAAATCCCTTTTTCTTGCAAGTAAGCTTTCAGGTGTATAAATTCCCCCCCCCATTATCCGAATAGATTGATTTAATTTTCCTATTGAAGTAGTTTTCAACAAGATTCTGAAATACCGGAAAAATTGAAGACACGTCAGATTTTCTTTTCAAAGGAAACAACCACACAAATTTGGTAAAATGATCGGCAAAAATGATATAATACTGAAATTCATCAATAGAAGTGACCAGTGACGGTCCCCAAACGTCACTATAAATTAACTCCAATGGAGAGAAGCTTGTCATAGTGGACTCCAGAAAATGGAGACTTGTGCATTTTGTTGCTCTTACCATGGAACAAAAAGAAATTATTGTTTGAAACTGATAAATCAAATGACTGCAAATAAGACGCAAGATAGGTCGCAAGATAGGTGTTGAAGGGTGGCCTAGCCGATGATGCCATAGGGGCTGTGAAGAAGCAACAATATGATTAATGTTCAAAGAAGAACCTCTTGACAGATTGGGCGGCCATTCAGGGCTTCCCTTCCGCTAGCAGCGCCCCCGTGCTCAAATCCTTCACAGTAAACAGAAAGGGATTAAATGTCACCTCAACATTATTATCAGTGCACAATTTATAAACAAAAATAAGATTCTTGTCAAGAGCAGGAACACATAAAACATTCTTTAAACTCAAAGGCTTGATGGCAGAATTTAAGGTAACAGTCCCTGTATGAGAAATTGGATAGGATTTACCATCACCAAGGAAAACATTATCACTGCCTTCATAATCTGAATGAATAGCCAGATTCTTTAAATCTTCTACCACATGCTGATTCGCACCTGAATCGACAACCCAACGAGGATCATTTGTCTGCCGATTGCTAGTAACACAATTAACTTGAGCTTGAGCCTTTGAACCAGCAGTAGTGGAGTTTTCATTAAACAACCATGGGAGCAATTTCTTGAGTTTAAAACATTGTTTGGTGACATGCCCAGGCCTGTCACAAAATTGACATTTAACCCTATTTTTGTAGGTCGAGGGGTACTGAAAAATTTCCAGAATTAACAAGAAAGCGAAGGATTGAGTACAGCAGTTACGATCCAGCTTTGTTTTTCCGGCAATCAGTAAGTTCACCGTTGTGGAGTAACAACCAAAATTCGACCTCACGATTCAAGTTGGACTCTCAAAGTCAGGTCCAATTTATCAGGAATAGTCAAAAGAAATCTCAAATCACGATGCATCGAATCGGCAGCCGAAACCCCTTATATTCAGCAGGGGACCATGAAGAACATGGAGAACATTTCATCATGTAATAACAACCACCCAGCAGGCAGCAAGTGTAGTGGTGATCATTTAATTCTGGAGAAACCAGTAACTGATGAGATCCCTTCTTGTTTAAATAGAGAACTCTCTAAGCTCATAATGCAGAGCTTGAGATGCTTAGCATTAGGTTTTCTCCAGAGTAACCGCCAAAGATCGTGAGAAGTTTCTCACCAACAACATAGAGACAACAATCGGGAGAAAGAGGAAGCATCAGAGCGCTTCGAAGAAAGAGCTGATCTGACAAACAGATAGGAACTGGTTGTCAGATACTAGTTACATAGGGTTCTCAAACAAACTTAAGAAAAATCATCAACATACCAATAGGAGAAGAGTACCACATGAGTATGCCACGAGTGTAGTTTTTGCAGTCAGTTTTTAAAAGGAGGCTTGAGCGAGCATTAATGTAAGAACTAATGAGTTTCAGAGGTGTTTAGTTGGCATTCAAGAACGTAGGAGTGGTGGAACTGTTTCTTCTAAGAGATTAGTCATTGAAAAAGGAACTAGCAAGAATCACAGATAGCCGAAATCGAAAAAAAAATGTGTTTGAGCAAGGCTCTTGATCCCATAAAACATAGAGGAAGTGAAATCTATTCACGATAACAGAGTGTTAATTTAAATACATGTGATTACAGACTCTTTCTAATCGCTTGTTTCAAGGAACTTATTAATCTAAAATAACAGAAATAAGTGTAATTTAAATACATGATTACAGACTCTTCTAATCCTTGTTTCAAGGAACTTGTATATATCTAAATATAACAGAATAGAATTTGAATAAGTCTTTGTAACAACTACGTTGTTATCTTATCTAATAGGGACATCATTAGTGTTTATGCTCCTTAAGTGGGATTGGATGGAGTATCTAAAACTGTATTTTTGGAAGATATTTATACTTTACTGCAAGAAATCCTAAGTGAATAATAAATTTTCATTGGAGGAGACTTAAATAGACATGTAGCTAGGTACAGATAGTAGTGGCTTTGACAGAGTACACTGGGTTATGGCTTCGCTAACAGAAATAAAGAATGGAAGCCTATCTTGGATTTTGCATTAGCCTCTGATTAACACTTGCTTCAGAAAGAGGTACTCTTTATTTAATCACTTTTAAGAGCAGGGGTTCATATTACTCAAAGAAAGGATAAGGCTATGTGTAAAGATTGTAAACTATACCAGGAGATGCTTTAACAGCTCTACATTGAATATCGGCTTTAGATGTAAAGAGTAAGAGTGGTATGAAAAGGGAGAAGATTTTAAGAGAACTATGAAATAGGGGTAAATATTGAAACTCATAAACCAAATAGCTTTTAAGGACAATCTGTTGAAGGAGAATGTATGGAACCTAGAAGCGAAAGCAGAAGACCTATGGAAAGAAATGGCAAAGTTACATTACGAAAGTGGCAAATGAAGTGCTTGATGTGTCTACAGGGTTATGGCCTTGATCACATGATTCCTAGTGGTAGATCATTTAAAGTTAAATGAAAATGGTAGAGAAAGAAACCGAAAGCATCAAACTAGGAGGCTTTTGATCCCAGAGGAGTTTTATATAACTGTTGGGCTACATAAGGACTCTACTTTGATCCCATACTTATTTATCCTAACAATGGATGAAATGAGCTAATCAGTAATATATAGAAGGAAACAAAATATATGCACTGTGAATTTTGCTTAAGAAATAAGTAGGAAAATGAGATTAGACTGGACAGGAGCCCAGATGCAATTAATTCACATACTTAGGATTTTTCTCCAAAAGGATCTAAAATATAAATGTTACTCATAGAATTAAGTAAGATGGATGAAATGGAGGAGTGCTACATAATATATAATAGGAAGATATCTAACAAGGTTAAAGGTAAATTCTACGGAAAAATGGGGAGACTAGATATGGTACGATTGGACATCAAGTGCCTAACATGTTCATAGAATGAATATTTTACATATGAGAATGCTACAATAGATATGTGATTACACAAAGTCGGACATAATTATAAATAACTACATTAGACAAAAGGTACAAGTCGCAGAAGTTGGAGATAAAATAAACTAATAATAACTACGACGATATGACCATATATTACATAAACTCACATGCCCTAGTTCATAAATGTGATACTTTGACGGTGAGTGATATTAAAAAGGAAAGAGGTAGATATAAAATCATATAGAAGAAAGTTGTCACGAACGATCTGTGGTCTTTGGATATTATTAAGGATTTAGTTTATTTTTTGGCTTATACTTTGCTTTATTCATTAATGTAGCAACTAATTTAAGAATTTCTCTTTTCAAAATTTTTTCCGTAAAAAGTATTTTCAAATTATTTTTCAATTTATACTTGGTTGTTTATTGCTGATATTTTGAATACATCAGATGTTGGAACTAAAAGATTGATATATTTGACCTCTATTACTTTAAAATTAAAGCTTAATTATTGTTGTTTTGGTTTGACATTACAAATTGAATTTGTTACAATTTCAAGACAAACTTCTAAAATTATCAAAAAAAAAAAAATGTTCCTTGGACCATTTTTATTAAATAAAAAGGTTTAATTAACTCATATAAGATTCTTCTTTGTATCGTTATGGTTAATTTCTTTTGATCATCATACACCTTTAAAATGATAAGTCATCAAATAGAAGTTCTCACTGCCCTGCAATCCAATGGTTAAATCAATAGTTGCCAAAATAAAAGACTAAGCAGAGGCATAATAAATTTTTCTTTTTTTAATGCAAAGGCAGGAAAAGCCCCAACGGAAGAACAGAACTTAAATCAGTCTTACAACACGTGGCCACTCCACTCCTTTGGAAATCCCGTTGCAAGAACTTCCATCACCTCAACAGAAACAGCAAGTTTAGCAAGGCAATCTCCTACCTGGTTGCCAAAAATAATCTCCCACACACGGATTTTTTACAAAGTCTCACTGTTCCTCCCAAATCATCTAGTTGAACTGAAAAACGACTCGATCCATTTAATTAAACATAATCAGATGGAATGGTATTACAAATGTTACAAACAAAAATGATACATTCTTTTTGGTTTATTGAAGGCTAAATGATCAAAATAATACTTTAAGCTACGTGTCAAGAATAGCATTATCAAAAAGTGACAAATATACTGATTTCAGGATATCATCGAGCAGTAGCCCGTCAATCCCAAAATTACCTTTCTCTTCTCTCAACCATTTAATGTAATTGACTGTCATGAACCGCGGCAGCCAATTTCTTTGATCTCTTACTGGAATGAATCTTGTAATACACATTCTTTGTTCTAATTGCCAACAGAACATCCAAACCCAATCCAACACCACATGCAATGGCCATGATAAGGAACACGAGCCTATAGCAATGGGCACCAACACAAGTGTTGCCGCCTCCTGCCGTTGGAGTAGCTTCAGCGTCGTACAGAAATCCGGCGAGTAGACCAGAGAAGAGAAACGAACCAAGTGGAAGATTGAGAATTAAAATGTTGTAAATTAAACCGTAATATTTTAGTCCAAACAATTCAGAGGCTGTTGGAACTGTGACGGCTAGACGAACTCCATAGCATATGCCAACAACAATTGAACCAATGTATAGCGAACCAGGCAGAGCTATTGCCATTAGAATGTACCCAACAGCCATTACTATTTGAGATGCTGCGTTCCAGAGAGGCCTTGGTGTTCCATTTTTCCTGCAAAAAAAAGGAAAATGGACGGGATTTTGAATTGAAAAGTCAGTAATTGAGTTGCAATTAAACTAAAATAATTTAGAAATGATAGAAAGTGATCCAGTAACTTCATCTTTTGTTTCAGATTGAAGTTGAATTCGCTCTTTTGAAAAAACACAATTTTAAACTTTGAACCGAAAAAACAAATTGAGAACACTATTTCGCGTTTTTGCACTTTTACAATTAAAATGTGTGATGAACATATTAAGAACAAACTTTAATATGCTCAAATTAATTAATTTTTTAATTTCTTAACAATGTTTTTTTTTTTAAATAATAGCTGAAGCAGTAATGATATGTAAGATGGTGATGTTAAATAAGATTCACATTGTTGGGATTCTAACTGATCCCGAGTGGGGCCCGCGGAAAAATACCGGTGGTAAAAATAAAATAAAATTACTATTACCACCCCGAGTGGGGCCCGCGGAAAAATACCGGTGGTAAAAATAAAATAAAATTACTATTACCACATATACCTCCAATAATTAAATATTGGATATTGACGAATCCACCAGAAATAATAACCACGATAAAAAATTAAATAATTATCGTAAATGCCAGATGAAAAATAAGAACACCCAGATTTACGTGGTTCACCCTTCAACTGTTATGGGCTACGTCCACGGGATAAAAAACTCCGAATAATTCTTCTACTAAAAATAGTAGGTACAAAAGAGATTATAAAAAATAGTGGCCCACAAAGTGTTTTCCAAAAACACCCCAAAAATTACAATCCTCACTATTTTCTCTCTTTCCCAATTTTAGGACACTCTTCCTAAAATATATTCTCTCCAACAGAAATTATTGAATTCTGTGAGCTCTCTCTACTCTTCTCAGTATAAAACTGAAGCAAAAAACACCTCAAGTGTTATGAAGGAAAATTAACGGCCAGATATTGTCTATAATCTCGGTGCAATTGCCACAATTCGAGTATGGGTTGGTCAACAACCCTTGGACTTTTTCTTTTGTTTTGTTTAGCAGTCTCTCTTGTGATGCCAGAAACAAAAAAAAACGTGCGTGTTATTAATTTTTTGTCTTTTTCAAACTTGTGCGGGTCCCAACATGTAAAGAGGACCCCACAACTAATTCTCCCCCTCCCTGACTACCAGTGAGACTCTCCATCCTGCGCTTTGACACATAGCTCGAACTTCTCCTTCCGGAAACGACCTTTGTTAAATTCTGCAGCATTTCTGGTCTATGTGGATCTTTCCAACTGGAAACTGCTTCTCTTCAATGGCAAGTCTGAAGCCAATGATATCTTACATCAATGTGCTTGTCCTGTCATGATACATAGTATTTTTCGCTATCAAGTCTAATGCAACTGTGACTATCACAATGTCAATAAACTATATATTCTTCCCGCTGCACACCCAATTCTTGAAAGAATTGCTTTAACCAAAGCATTTCCTTTCTTGCTTCCGTTGCTGCAACGTACTCTGCTTCAATCGTTGATAATGAAACACATTTTTGTAATCTTGACTGCCATGAAATAGCTCCCCCTGAGAATGTAATTAGGTATCCTGATGTAAATTTTCTTTCATCAAGATCACCGGTCATATCTGCATCTGTGTAACCAACAAGTGCAGCCTTTTCACTCCAAAAGTTAAACATAACTTTGAAGTTTGAAGTTCCTCTCAGGTATCTGAAGATCCACTTCACTGCTTCCCAATGTGTCTTTTGGGGATTTGACAGAAATCGACTCACAACGCCAACTGCATGAACGATATCTGGTCTTGTACACACCATTGCGTACATTAAACTTCCGACCGCTGAAGAACATGGAACATTTGACATATCTCCTTTTTCTTTCTCTGTTGATGGGTAGGATTTTTTTACTCAACTTGAAGTGAGCGGCTAGCGGAGTGCTAACTGGTTTAGCATTCTTGATATTGAACCTCTCTAGAACCCGTTCAATATATTTTTCCTGTGATAACCATAACCTGCAGGACTTTCTGTCTCGAATTGTGACATCCTACTGAATTGAGTAGTTGCGATCCTCAAATCCTCATTCAAATGGCGTTTTGACAAATCCCTCTTTAACTTGCTAAGTCATATGTGCAAAAATCTGATCCAACAATACATTATCAGTTCACAATAAGAGAAGGATGATAAATTTACCCAGGGAATTTTGCCATCAGGGAATTTCTGAACATATACACAAGGATCTGCTTCCCAATGTGTCACCATGAAAGAATCAAACTTTTTATACCATTGTCGCGGTGCTTGTTTCAACCCGTACAAGCTTTTCTTCAAGCGACAAACCATATCCTCTTTTCCTTTGACCTTGAATCCTTCTGGTTGTTCCATATAGATTTCTTCCTCTAGATCCCCATGCAAGAATGCGATCTTTACATCAAGATTCTCTAACTCAAGATTCAAATTGGCTACAAGACCTAGCACAACTCGAATAGAACTCATTTTCACAACTGGTGAAAAAATCTCATCAAAGTTAATACCATCAAAAGTCGATACCTTTCTTTTGAGTAAAAGCCTTTGACGACCAAATCGAGCTTTGTTTAACTCACTAGGTTGCCATCATCTTTCTTTTAGTTTGTACACCCATTTGTTCTTGAAGTGTTCTCTCCCTTTTGGAATTTTCACCAGCTCTACGTGTCCCCATTCTTTTTCAAAGAATTCATCTCTTTCTTGCATGGGACTTTTCTCCAGCGCAATCTCTATCTTTGCAAGATTGCACATCTTGGAAGCCTCTCTGGCTCCCCTCATCCAGAGATTAAATATAAATCAGAACTAGGGTACTTGTAGATGGTTGGCGTTCTCTGGTTTGACCTTCCTTAACTGAAGGTTCAAACTCCTAATCTAAGTGTAATGGGTTCTCTGGCTCCCCCTGCTCAACACCGCTCCTGCATCACTGTTATCATCTATAAATTATTCTCTTGATCCCCTACGAACTGGGCTTCTTCTTCTTCTTCCTTGTTTCTGATTATCGGCATTCCTCCATCCTGTGGCATTTCTGTAGGAATTTTCCTGGGTGTAATATCAATAACACCAATCAACTTGTGGATTCTTCACAAGTTAAAAGTTATATCTGCCACGATCTCATTCTCGTGGAATACTACGTCTCGACTCCGGACAACTTTCTTTTTCACTGGGTCCCACAACCTATAGCTAAACTCTTCATCTCCATAACCAACAAAAGTACAAGGAACTGACTTGTCATCAAGTTTTGATCTCTGCTCTTTCGGAACATGCATGAATGCCTTGCAGCCAAATACCCTCAAGCCAAATACCCTCAGATGAGAGTATGAAATATTTCTACATGTCCAGACCTTCTCTGGGATATCAAAATCCAATGGTGCTGAAGGTAGTCGGTTGATTAGGTAGACAACTGTGTTGACAACTTCTCCCCAAAATGGCTTAGGTAAGTTGGTCATTTTGAGCATGGATCTGACTCTCTCAATAATGGTGCGATTCATCTGTTCAACAACGCCGTTGTGTTGAGGCGTACCAGACCAGGAACTGTCTTTTCATGCCTGATACCGTGCTGACTACAATAATCTCTAAACTCCTTAGAGATATATTCACCACCATTATCCGTGTGCAAACACTTTAAGGCCACTCCAGTCTCCCTTTCCACCATAACATGGAATTGCTGAAAGTGCTTGAATACTTGATCTTTTGTGCACAACAAATATATCCATGTTTTCCGTGAGAAATCATCAATGAAGGTAAGAAAATACCTACTCCCTCCAAGTGATTCTACCTCCATGGGACCACATACATCAGAGTGTACCAACTCCAACTTGTTGTCTCTCCTTCTAGAGCTTTTTAAAAAAGAGACCCGATGTTGCTTTTTCCAAACAAACAATAATCACAATAATCAACAACAATAATCACAAGGGTTTATTTTACCTTTGACTAATGGTATGAGGGACTTCTTAGCCAACATATTCAACCCTTTCTCACTAACGTACGCCAGCTGCCTATGCCACAAATTTGGTGAAGCATCATCTTCAACTGTATTTAGTTGACCTGCACAAATTATTGCGCGCGCTTTATACAGCAAGCAACATAATTTTCCTCTCGCCACCACCAAAGATCCTTTGGTGAGTTTCCAATTACCGCCACCTATATGATAGTGATAGCCTTCCTTGTCCAGTACACTCACAGACAAGAGGTTCAACCGAAGATCAGGAATATGTCACACATTTTTAAGTGTTAATGTGCACCCAACACTTGACTTTATGCAGATATCACCGATTCCCACTACTTGCGAGACACTATTATTTCCCATTTTAATAGTGCCAAACTCTCCTGCTTTATAAGTGGAAAAATATTCAAAAATATTCTCTTTTGAACACAGTGTATGAAGCACCGGAGTCTACTATCCACTCGTATCTGCATCTCCAACATCACCAACCATCTGCATCATGAAGTGACTAAAGTCACCTGCACCATCTTCTCCTGAGACTGTAGGCAGATGTATTTCTGTCATTCTCTTGTCTTCGGTCTGCATTAATCCTGTTGAAGTAAACGACAATTTCTTTTTGAGACGACCCTCCTTACCGCAATGGTAACATTTTCTCATCTCTCTGGACTTGGATCTACCACTTGACTTTACATGCCTTTTGGAACTTCTACCTCTTGTTCCCGAACCCTATTCTCTATGACAAGGCTTGTAAAACTGGTACTGGCAACATCCTCTTCTTCGTAGTTTCCTTCATTAAGTAGTCTATTCTTTACCAATAGACATCGTTACCACACCATTTTGGAAGCTGAGTTTACTATGAATTTACCACAAGAATATCCCACGCTATCGCGGTAAGAGATCCCAACAGTAGGCATGCTTGCATCTCATCTTACTAAGGACATACCGCTAACTGCTAACTCAGTTAACGAAGTCTTCAAAATCGTTCAGGTGTTGTGTAATTGGATCGTCCCCTCTGACAGGCCTTAAGTTCATGACTTTACGCAATTCAAGTTCATGACTTTACGCATCATGAAGACTTTTCCTTGAGCATTCGTAGCCTCGTACATATTCTCTAATTTCTTCCAGAGAACTTGGGGATATTTTTTTTTTCTCACGTGATTGTACATGCTAACATCTATCCATTGACGTATTGTACCCAATGTCTGCTTTTTTAATTTCTCCCACTGCCTTTGTTTCATTTCTTCTGGCTTTGTACTGTCACCTTCAATGGATCGTACAGATCTTTGCAATTGAGGTAGTCTTCCATTCTGGATTTCCACATTGAATAATTCGAATCCGTCAATTTGATCATTGCCCCGTCGTTACATTAGCCATGTTGATCTGATCTGACAAAAATTCACTATTCACGGAAAATTTCACCTATTCTTAATCTGACAAAATTTCAACTTATTCACGAAATTCACTATTCACGTGAATAGTAACTTTGACAGAATTTCCAAACCTAAGGCTCTGATACCAATTGGTTTGGATTCCTAACTGATCCAGTGGGCCCACGGAAAAAAATACCGTGGTAAAAATAAAAAATAAAATTACTATTACCACATATACCTCCGATAATTAAATATTGGATATTGACGATCGAATCCACCAGAAATAATAACCACGATAAAAAATTAAATAATTATCGTAAATGCAGATAAAAAATAAAAACACCCAAATTTACGTGGTTCACCCTTCAACTGTTATGGGCTACGTCAACGGGACAAAAAACTCCAAATAATTCTTCTACTAAAAATAGTAGGTACAAAAGAAATTACAAAAAACAGTGGCACACAAAGTGTTTCCCAAAAATTACAATCCTCACTATTTTCTCTCTTTCCCAATTTTAGGACCCTCTTCCTAAAATATATTCTCTCCAACAGATTTATTAATCTGTGATTTATTAAATCTGTGAGCCTCTCTACTTCTTCTTATATAAAACTGAAGCAAAACACCTCAATTTATAAGACCCTCTTCCTAAAATATATTCTCTCCAACAGATTTATTAATCTGTGAGCTCTCTCTACTTCTTCTTATATAAAACTGAAGCAAAACACCTCAATTTATAAGAAAAATTGAACGCATCTTTGCCTATAATCTCCGTGCAATTTGCACATTATTCAATAATGGTTGTTCAACAACCTTGACTTTTTCTTTGTTTGTTAAGCAGTCTCTCTTTGACTGCCAAAACAAATAAAACGTGTTATTATTTTTTTTCTTTTCAAACTTGTGCGGGTCCCACATGTAGAGGGACCCGCAACACACATATGGGCAAGGTCTCTCAGATATGGCATAGCACCATAATAAGAAATTAAGCGTGGACTAGCTACGATCCAAAAAACAAAATAAGGAAAATGCCCATTTACTTCATTCTTTGACTGCTCTGCTCCCCCCCCCCAAAAAAAAAGAGAGACTGAATCTTATCTTACTATTTCAGAAAATCACTTGGGTTCTTAAATTAGCTATGGTCATTCATCAATTTCCACTTATTCAAAAAAGAAAATGCTAAAATCAATTGACTAATCAAAAACCAAGAAATCAAATAATTGCACAAAAAAGAAAAATTTTTTATATTCAAACAACTATCTTACGACTTCAATATTATAACCAGTAAGATATAACCCCCTAGTGTGAAAGGAAACATTTACTTTTTTTCGAACATTACTATTATTCAGTAAAATACACTGCTCCTGTCAGCATGTAGAACAAGGTAACCCAGCGTGCCAGGGAAGGCAATACAAGTGAACACAATTCTTTTTCTTTTTTTTTTTTTTTCCTGTTCGGAGGTCCAATGGGCATGACACTTTGAGGTGACCATCCTTTAACTTGTTTGTCAAGTTAGTAAAAACTCTCGTAATTAAAAATTTGTTATATCAGTGAGAATACCGATCAGATTATACTTAATCAAGTGAACACAATTCTAATTACTCCTATAAGCATTTTCTTCTTGTCAACCAGCTCATTTAAACCATTAAGTTATTTTGAAGGGTGAATATATAAATTTACTCTTGATTTTTGTTATTTTAATTTTTTAGCACCCTCAATTTTTACTTAAACACTACAATTTAAAAATTTAGATAAATTAAACACTCATTAAAAAGTTAAAATTTATAAAAATTATGGTTCCATGGTTATGCTAATTACATATTATTATTGATTCTAGTGTTGAAAAGTTTATAATAATATCAAAATTTATAAATTTAAGTGTACAGTATATCATTCGTAAAATTTAGAATGCCACAAAGTTAAAATTTTCAAATTTGAGAGTGAATTTATATTTTCACCTGTAATTTCACTATGCCAGCAAGTTACCAAAGACCAACTGTCCAAACCATATGTATGTCTCTATTTTTTTAGAGAGAGGAATCCAGCATCTAGGTCAACCGATGACCTGATCACCATGTGACATGTAATCTAGAAATCCCATCCAGCAAATGTATAAATTCATCCTTAATATTCACAAAAATACTTATGGTATTTTTAATTTTAATTTGATCTATTAAATATTTTAGCTTATAGAATTATTCTATTAAATATTTTAATTATGAAATTAAATTGATTATATACTTATTATATAATTTAAAAATTATGTTCTAAAAATTATTAAATCAATATTTTGTATATAGAAGCTAAAAAAAAATATAAGTCATTTAAGATTTTTGCACAAAAATTAAAGAAACAATTAATTTTTCTAAGTTATAACAAACTCAAGGGTAATCTGACTAAATTATCATTTATTACAAAACCAATAATTACTTGTGAAAGTATTTATTTATTGAAAAAATATCATTTATTACTTTTTAAAATACATAAAACGACTTACATTTTAAGATAAAATAATCATACAAAATAATTTACATTTTGAGACAAAAATGTCCAAAATAACTTATATTCTGGGACAAAAGGAGTAGTAACTAATATTATTTGAACAGTAAATTTTACCCACAGCTTTCCCAATATGTCCCTCATATTAATATTGCCTATCCCTTAAAAATAAAGAATCAAATGCTTCCTAAAAAAAGAATCAAATTAAAAAGATAACAAAACTATATTAAACAGGTATTAGATAATTAAACATTAATTATATTTTTAAAAAGCAAAGTGATCTGTAATGTAGAATAAATCACAAAAGGGATATAAAACAATTTAATACCCTTTTGTGGAAAAGAGATATACTCTCGGAAAGAACAAGTCCTAACGGGAATTCTAACTCCCAACCACCGTATGGAATGTTAGCTAGAAAATTTTATGCGTTTAGTCTAAATAATAAATGGCAATTAAGACGTTTAATTACAGTTATGCTGTCAACTTTACTTTAAAGAAGAATTTATTGGAAAAGTATTTATTGGAAAAGAAAATTCTACTTTGGAAAAGGATTTATTGGAAAAGTAAATTTACTTTTCTTTAGTCACGACAAAAATCTTCCAAACGCCAACTGATTTTCTTTAGACTTGTAAATTTGATCTAAAAGCAAACAGAAAGAAAAAGAAAACACCAACCCCACTTCAAACCATGACGTCAAAATCTTAAGAAAGGCATACTAATTTTTATTTCTTTAATCTTGTACGGAATCGAAAGCCACCCCATTTTGTCAATAAAAAATTTGACATAAATAGCGTAATTAATTGTAATTATTAAAAATAATATTTTCTATTTCTTTAAATTTAACGGTTTTTGATTTTTTTTTCCATTTAGATGATATTTTTAAAATATTAATTATTTTATTTTTACTTTACACTTAGTTAAATATTTCAATTAAATAAATATTAAATAATTTAATATATTTTAGTTCTTCTGAAGGGAAATTTAACGAAAAGAATTAATAACCTACTAAAATTTAATTAATTAAGCAGTAATTGAACTTACTTGATGAAGTACTCAGAGACAGTACCAGAAGCAATCCTTCCAAAAAATCCCCAAATGCTTGTAAGCGAGACAAATATTGAAACGTCGGCGTATCCAAGAGCTAATCCTATCTGTCCCATATTGTTTATCACCGCCAAACCTGTACCCACACCGCAAAGAAACGACACGAACAAAATCCAGAAATCCACGGTTCCTAGCGCCTCAAAAATCGTGTGCTCTTCACCAATAACCGGTTTCTGCTTTATCTCCGGCACTTCCTCCACCGGTGGTTGACTTACCACTTCCGCCGCCTCCACCTCAGGATCCTCCTCTGGTTTTTGTTGAATCTCACCCTCAGTTTCTCCATCCAAAAACGGTTCTTCAATGTCGGTCGGTTTATTCTTCAAACGGTTTAGGTTCCAACTTTTTATGAAAGAGTAAACCGGAACTGCTAATGGAGAAGCTAGAAGAAATAGTAACATGATAGCAAACCCCAACGATAAACCTCTGCTGGGATTTGCAATAAATCCATATATTAACAGATAAACAGCGACAACCATAGCTACGAAGTTAAAAATTGAGAAATATTTGAACTCTTCTTTCTCTTCTTCGACGGTGGCTGCTGGCGGAATTTCACGCAGGAAGAGGACAGCGGTGAGACAGACGGCTAATGGTACGATAGAAAGCATGAGGAGAAAGCTAGCAGGGTCATCGGAAAACAGAGCAGAACAAAGGTCAGTGAAAATAGCCGTACTTAATCCCACGTAACCTTTTAAGATACCGGAAACAGGGCCTCTGTTTCGCCGGAAATTGCGGATGCAAGTTACTAAAACCGCCGTGTTCATCCATGTTGTACTGTTGCCTCCCAAGCAGAGGAATACACACATCTACAACAAAAAAAAAAAAAAAAAAAAAAAAAAAAAAAAAATCCAATGTTGTACTGTTTGCCTCCCAAGCAGAGGAAATACACACCATCTACAACAAAAAAAAAAAAAAAAAAAAAAAAAAAAAAAAAACAAACTAAACAATGGGTCAAAAAAAAAAAAAAAAAAAAAAAAAAAAAAAAAAAAAAACAAACTAACAATGTCAACACAATGACTGTGATATAAATAATGAAGAAATTGGGTTTGAAAATAATTACCTGCCAGTAAGGAAGAGGTTGAATCCGCCGGCTAACTACAAGCCATTGAGCGCCATAACCAACAAGTCCTTCAAAAGAACCGATAAGAAGAATGACCGGAGTAGACAAACGGTCAGAGGCAAGACCCGCAAGCAGACCAAAGGCTTTACCAACATCTTTAGCGACTGATAAATTGTTGAGTTGGAGTTGGTTCAAGTTCATAAGAGTTTTAAGAGCATCTGAATAGTTAGAGAAAGTGTAATTGTTGCCTGAAATGGCTTGGACCCAAACGGCGGTGACAAAACCAAGCCATTTTGCAGCAGCGAAAGAATTGGAAAAGGTTCGATTGGAAGAAATGCCCATAATGAATGAATCTATCAACCAATCTATTGAAAGTAATGGAATGGAAGGTATGGCATGGTTTGATGCACTTATATAATATAGATTTTTTTTTTTTAATTAAGGTTTTATTACGGTTGCTTGGGCCGCGACACGTACGATTGTAAGCTTGCACTTTTTTATTTTAATTTTAATTTTTTTAATATGTTGTGATGGGTTTAAGTTGACGTGAATGGTTTTTCCAGCGGTGGCTTTTCAGTAATATGCAATAGTCGAAATTGTGGAATCGTGAATCGTGAACCGTTGTTTTGTGTGTATTTACGGTTACGTTATGTTCTGGAATGGGATGGGATGCACGCCATACCTGCATAACGTGTACTAGATTTTGCAGAATTAGAGTCGAACACTATAATTCAGTTATAATGTAGTATTTCTTTTCCTTATTTTAATAAAATAAATTTTCATCTTTTAATTTCAAAGTCCAAATTTTAATAAAAATATTTTTTATTTTTTAATTTCAAAGTACAAACGTGAGATTGAATTGATGTTTGATAATATTTAATATTTAAAATTAAAACTTTGTTGTTTATTGTTTTTAAATAATTTCATACTTCTTATCTATATATCATCTTAAACAGTTTAATTAAATTAACTTTTATTTGTAATTATAACTCATAAAATGTAAATTAAACTTTGCCGTTAATATAAGAATAAGAAGTATACTTAAAAAAAAAAAAAAAAAAAAAAAAAAAAAAAAAAAAAAAAAAAAAAAGAGTCAGCAATATCGAACAGTATTTCACAACAACTTTTTGAATTTTTGCATTAAATGTTTTTTTTTTAATATTTAGTAACATAGCATTTGAATCGACTTTCAGATATTAAGATAATATTTTATAAAAAATTAACTCATATCATATTTAATTTATAGTGTTTCATGAAAAAATTATTTAAATAGTTAACAATTAAATAATACTAAAACGGTTAATATTGTCGAACATACACTTGAAAAACTTTACAATTTCAAATTTAATACACGGAGGTTATTTATTTATATTATTGATTATTTCACATCGTTTCATAAGTTTTATCTAGATTGATATTGAAGAAGGTGCATTGGATAACTTGATGCGTTATTCATTATTTATTTTTATAATATTTTTTATATATTTTATCGTGTTTATTTTTAATAGATAATAAGTACTCTATTTATTCCAAAATATAAGTCATTTAAGATTTTTGTACAAAAATTAAGAAAACAATTAATTCTCCTAGATTATAACAAATTCAAGGGTAATTGACGAAATTATCGTTTATCTCAAAATCAATAATTGCTTATGAAGCATTTATCATATTTAGTACAAACAAGTGCAACATTGTAAAAACATCGTTTTTTATTTCTTGAAATATACAAAATGACTTATATTTTGGGAAAATAACATATAAAAAATGATTTGTATTTTGGAATAGAGAGAGTATTTTCTATGTACTTTAATAACAACATTTTATCTTTTTCAAGAATTAAGAAAACGATTAGAACACATTAATTTTCTAAAAATACATATAGAAGGCCTAAATTGCCTTATTAAAATGAAAAATTTTCCATTTAACTTTACTACAAAAAGAATACTAATTTTATCTCATATTAAAGCACCACCATTGGATTAATACTTTCATTTTATTTTGTCATGCCTTGATACAGTGAAAAACTTTTAGTTATGAGTGTAGTCAAAATTTTAATTTAACTACAAGTAAAATAATGATAGAGAAAAATAAATGTAACATAGAAATAAAGAATAAGGCTCAATTTGCCCTCTGAATTTAGGCACAACATATAATTTGCCCAAAAATTAATTTTTTATACAATTTGCCCTTAAAGTTGTAACAAAAGAACAAAATGCTCAATTTTTTAAGAAAAATTTTTTTTTATAGTTTTAATTTATAAAAATTTTTAAAAAATTTAAAATTGGAAAATAAAAAATATTTAAAATATAATAATATTATAATTTATGGTATTTGATTTAAATAATAATTTAAGCAAAAATATTTTGATTTTATAAATTATAGAATAGGAAAAAAGATTTGATTGTATTGAAATATTTGGTTAGAAAAATATTTATTATTTTTTCATTATTTTTTGGTTAGAAAAATATTTATTATTTTTTTCATTATTTATTAATTATATTTGATTTAGATCAAATATTTAATTACTTTTTAATCATATAGGATTTATATCAAATAATTTATTTTTTGGAATAAAAATTGGACATTTTGTTGGTGCAAATTTAAGGGCCAAATTGTATAAAAAGTGAAGTTTTGGGCAAATTATATATTGTGTCCAAATTCAGGGAACAAATTGAGCATTGTTTCTAGAAATAATCACGTCAAATAAATATGGATAAAATTTAAAAAAATTATAAATATATTTTCAAAATCCAAAATGAGTACTTAAAGTGGAACCTTTAAAATGCTCATTTGTTGCCATCAATCGTTCTTCACACTTTTGTTATAACTATGAATATAAATTTATTACTTCGAACCTATTTAAATACTTTCTCTGTCCCACAATATAAGTCGTTTAAAATTTTTAAACGGAGATTAAGGAAGCTATTAATTCTCTTAAATTGTACTCCTTCTGTTCTCTTTATTTAGAGAAAACCAAAAAAAGCTCTTCGATTAAGAACATTAATTAAATACAGTTTTCTCCCTAAAATACTCATAAAGTTAGTTAAATGAAGTTCTCTCTAAAATACTCTTCATTTCTTCATTAATTATGGGAACAATAGCTTACATAAAAGGATGCCCCAAGAAATGCATTTATTGCCCACTTGCATCATTTGGGCGTTACTCTCAACCTTCTTTATTAGAATGGAGACGTTTTATATAATATATGCCCAAAAAAAAAAATTTGGAGCCAAATTAAAGGCCGAATTTTTGTACTTATTCATTAAAGGCCATAAATTTCCAAAATTTTCGGTGAAAATAAAGGAGGGAAGACCTAAACTTTGGCTCTAACTTATTTAAACTTAAATAGTTTTTCAATTCAAATTTAAAATTAAAAGTAAATTTTGGTTTCTCCAAATTTAAATGAAATTCAGAAAGTAGTTCTTAAATGCAATACATTACGACCAAAATGAAATAAAATTTGGAGCTAAATTTTTTGAGTTTATAATCAGACTCCTCGACTTCTAAACTTTTCCGACATATAAATAAAATCACAGTTAATGATCTGATTCAAGTAAAATCTATTTCCTTCTTGATGTGTGCATACATATTAATGCCTTTTACCTTTTAATTTAATCTAATTTTAAGGAATCTTAATAAGTTGTGGTTCGTTTTGCATGCATTGTGCATATTTTGCATTTATCTTGTCTTATAGTGCATGTCTCACCCTTTTTGAGGAGGAAAACCCTAAGACATGGGTTATTTCAGTCATTTTGGACCATCCCACAAGAAAAAATCTACATAGGTTGAGCGCCAGCCGTACTTTATGCGCTGAAGAGTCATTCTCGTATTGTGCCACATGCACGGCTGCTACACTAGCCGTAGAAAGTGTTTCAGCAAGTCAGGAAGGTCATGGCTACAAGGCATGCCCGGCGCACCAGCCGTGCAGGGTTTTTTTACCCGTATGTCGAGCCGTGAATTTTTTATAGTGAAGGGAAGATTCAAGATTGTATAGCCAGTGTATTAGCTGTAACTTTTGCTCAACTGGCAAACTGAAAGCGGAAAAATAGGTCATAAACTTATTCAAAATTATATTAGAAAAAAGATATTGCAAGATCTCTTCCAAGGCCATAAAAGGAGGATGAAGCGGTGTAGAGGGCATGAAGCAATAGCTAGGGAACATTTCTGTTTTAGAGAGGATTAGTTGTGTGACATCCCAGGTTTAGGGCACAACACCTTAGGCGAATCCCACATCGGCTACGCACAAGGTGGAAGTCCTATACATAAAGGGTGGCAACCTGAACTAATGCTGACGCGTTTTTGGGCTGGCAAGAGCGGAGGTTTCCCGGTCCCAAAAACAAAACCGTGAGGGTTCATGTACCATCCTAAGCTGAATCGAATCGTTGCATAGAGTCGAGTCGAGTTGGCCGAACAAGAACCGTTCAGCCATTTAAATCCAGAGTGGGGTAGAATGGGATGTTAATAATAAGTAAAGAAGTGGACTTACTTGAATGAAACAAAAGATCAAAGTATAAGTAGAAGGACTTACTTTGCACTAAAATATAAAGTTTAGTTTTATTAAAATGTAATATATGCGAAAATATAGGTTACTATTTGGGAATTTTTAACAACAACAATCAAAGATAAATTTGGACTACACGAGAACTTCTGTCGATCACTTGCTTCCTTCAGCCGTTTTTCTGATGATTTCCACTTTGCCTGCTTTTTGTTTCTCTAACCAGAATCTGGACCCAAAATCTTCTCTCAACTAAGTTCTGTCCAACACAACAGGTCCCTGCATTTCTGCCATACAACGCTCCATATGGGTGCCATCTTGAATGCTCGATTGATAGCTGTTTTGTAGGCAAATTCCATGAGAATAGTACATAATCCTGACACTGGCTTCAAATTTCTATAAACAACATGACTCATCGCAATGTCTTCCAGGATTTGATATTACTCTCTCTGACTGGCCATCTGTCTGAGGTTTGGATGAAAGGCAGGGCTGATTAGTTTGTTCCTAATGCGTCTGCAAGTTTACCCAGAACTTCGATGTAAACCTTGGATCACGACCGATATAAGATGATGGACTCCATGTAGTCGAATGATTTCTCTAACATAGATTTCTCTAACATTTGTCCAGGAATAGTTCATCCTGACTGGTAGAAAGTGCGCAGACTTGGTTAATTTGTCAACAATTACACATACTGCATCAGCGGTTCCCGCCTGCGTCTGAGGTATTCCGGTAAAACAAAATCATCGTGACTGATCCTATTTCCATGTTGGAACTGTTATTGGATGAACAACCCAGCTGGCAATTTTGATGTTCTGTTTTAACTTGTTGACAATGTCACATCTTGTTACGAGTTTCCTAAATGTCTTCTTCATACCGGGCCACCAATAGCCTTTTCAAATTCTTGATACATCT